GAAGATCAGTGGAACAGAATAGAAGACCTAGATATGAATGCACAAAGCTATGCCCATCTGATTTTTTTTAACAAAGTCACCCAAAAAATATAATGGAGAAAAGGCATCCTCTTCAAAAAAGTGTTGCTGGGAAAACTGGATATCTGCATGCAGGAAAACTGAAGCTAGATCTATGTGTTTCACCCTGTACAAATATCAACTCAAAGAGGATTAAGGACCTTAATATAAGTCCTGAAACTTTGAAACAATTACAGGAAGTAGTAGAAAATACACTGGAACCAAAGGCATAGGCAACGACTTCAGAAATAGAACTCCAGTGGCTCAGCAAATAAGAGAAAGGATGAACAAATTGAACTGCATCAAACTGAAAAGCTTCTGCACAGCAAAAGAAACAGACTTAGGAGACAGTCCACAGAGTGGGGAGAAAATCTTTGCCAGCTATTCATCTTATAAGGACTAATACCCAGAATCTACAGGGAACTCAAAAAACTCAACTTCCACAGAATCCACAACCCAATGAAGAAATGGGCAGGTGAATTGAATAGGGAATTTTCAAAGGAAGATGTAAAAATGGCTAATAAATGCAGAAAGAAGTTCTCAACTTCCCTGGCCATAAAAGAAATGCAGATCAAAACTACACTAAGATTTCATCTCACCCCAGTTAGAATAGCTATCATTAAGAACCCAACAAATGCTGGTGAGGGTATAGTTAAACAGGAATCCTTATACACTGTTGGTGGGACTATAGATTAATAAAACCATTATGGAAAGTAGTATGGAGATTCCTTTAAAAACAAAACTAGAACTGCCATATGATCCAGTGATAACACTCCTGGGCATCTACCTGGAAGAATGTAAATCAAGATACAATAGAGACATGTCAAAACAGATGATTATTGCAGCACTAGTCACAATAGCCAAGCTATGGATGCAACCCAGATGTCCTACAACTGGTAAGTGGATTAAGAAAATGTGATTAAGTAAAATTGGAGTTTTACTCAGCCATAAAGAAGAATGAAACCACCTATTTTGAAGGTAAATGGATGCAATTATAGAACATCATGTTAAGTGAAGTAAGCCAGATTCAGAAAGACAAAGGCCACATGTTTTCTCTCATATGTAGAAGATAGATCCAAAAGATAAATATGTGCACAAAAATAAACATGATCACATACAAACTTATATAGAGAGCATGTTTATAATAGTAGAACTATTCTATGGAATGATAGTCAACAGTATCTAAATATATAACATCTATGCAGATAGAGGATATAAGGATTATGTCTTGAAAGCTGATGAATAATGAGGGGTGGGAGAGAGTAACGGAAGGGAATGAACTGACCAAAGTAAAGTGTACTCACAGCAGGAATACTTTGAGAAACCCCTTGGCGCACTGACTTTCGAATTAACAATAAAAGACAGGACTATAAAATAGGTACAGTGTGGGGGGTATTTGTGGGAGGGCGAAGGATAATGGAGGAGATGAAGGTGAGGGAATACTGAAGGGCTTCATATGAGTACACGAAACTGAATGAAATCTCTTGCAATTAAGTGAGATGGAGAGGGTTTGTGGGGGAAGGGGTGCAGAGATGGTGAGGGCAATCCAACCAAAGTACAGTGTAAAGCTATTTGGAATTGTCACAATGAATCCCCACTGTACAACAAATATATCCTGATACAAAAAGCCTACAATGGAGTTTTAAATATACATGTAAGCCCACATACCAGATTTTATGTTAAATATTTAGAACTTTTCCCAAAGAAATGTGATAATAACAATGCAGAACATTATTAGGTATTCATGCTTTGAGTCTAAAATTTACATTGTCTTTGTTGTCTATGGCTTGTACTGAATTATGGGTAAACTTTGCAGTATTTAGAAAAGCAATTAGAGTTCAAATGGCTTAATATAGGAAATATGCATTTTATATCTAAGTTATATTTCTAAGTCAAAATATAGCCTGTAAATATTTTGATATTAGGTGAAAATTTATCATGTAGTCATATTTAAAGAAAAAATTCAATTAAGTGTCATGTATCTGATGACTAGGTAACTTTTTACATTTTCACCTGGCATGCTTTGGTATCAGGGACCCATAGCATAAGAGGTTTTATGTATCAGACTAATTACTCAATTCACTTACTGAAACTCAAGTCTTCACCTTGACTTGACACTCTTTTTTTCCTGTTTGTTCACATTGGTCCTTTTCACAGAGCTTCCTTCTTCTCCCCTATCCCACATGGCTGCAATACAAAGTAAAAAAGCCCATTGGTGCCACGAGAACTCGTATCAAATACAATGTGGAGTCTGCTGAGGAAGAACTGTGTGGCCTTCAATAAGTCTTTCTCTGAGAGTGGTTTCCTTTAGGTGTATCAGTGCTACTAATACATTGTGAAGACTAGGAGTCATAGTTGTTAAGTATTTATAAGAGGCTGCATGTAGAAAGTAGGTAGCAATTAAAAGATTTTCTTATCATTTGTTATTAAGTTTCAGCTCAGGCATAACTATGTCTTTTGGAAATTCTAATGATGGAAACAGTTTTTACCTCCTATAATATCCACGTATATTTTATTTGTGTCTAGCTACTTTTATATGTGGCATTCTAGTTATTATATATAAATCATACTTTATAAGACTTGAAATTTCTGAGGGAAGACTCAAATCTTCATACTCAAGTTTTCATATTTCACTTCTGGTCAAATAATGTAATAATAATATAATAACAAGTTTAAGTAATATTACTTTAACACAACAAAATCCTTCTCTGACAAAACTCATGTCAATTTTTGACTTGATTTACTTTTAGTTTCTCACAATTTCTACAACCTTTGAAGGCCCCCAACAAAATAAATTACATCAAACACCAAATAGGTCATGATATTTTTCATCTAATCTGATTTATTTATCGATCATATATAATAGGAAATACAGAGAATTACAACATAATAAAAACACAAGAATTATAGGTTGTCTTGTTAAAAATTAAATAAGAGATTTTGGTTAAATAAAAAGGCATGTATGAACTTGCAAGATATGTATGTTGGATATCTGTGAATAAAAACGCAAAGTGGGATGCTCAAGGTGCAGCAACCTAAGTCCTCAGTCCCTCTTTCAGAATGGACTCAACATTGTGTCTGCAAAAACAATGGGCACAGGTAACCTCCAGTCTGACTTGCTACTAATAAGTGCCAAATAATAACTGTCTTATAGAGAAAAAAGGAAGGATGGAATATGAAAGAAAAAAAAGGGAAGAAGAGTAGGGAACATGGGAGATGGAAAGAAAAGAGGAGACTAGGAAAATCAGTGTGACAACTCTCTAAAGTGGTGGCTTTTCCCCACTCCCTCTGCAGGTTCATTGACAGTACTTTGTAAGTCACTAACCTGGAATATTAGAATAAGGCCCATACATAGAAATGGATGAATTCTTTATATTCCTTTAGTTTTAATAACAAACAATAGAGATCTTAAAGTATTTAAGGAACAAAGTGCATGTGTTTCCTATGCCATTTGAGAAACTGTGTTTCAATTTATTCCTCTTTCAAGAGAGTCTATAGCTTTACTGAAAGACAACTGGCTCAAATAGCGACAGAAGTACTTAGAGTTCCCAGACAGTCAGTTGTAGTTTAAATGCAGAATATTTTCTAGCTAGTAAATAGTCATCTTTTTAAAAACACAGTAAAAGCAGTAGTTATAATTTCTCCATAAATAGAAATGAAAAATCCATTTTTAAAGGACAAAAAGTCACCATGATATACATTTCTATAAATTTTTCCCCAACACATTATTATAGATCAATCTTTACTGCTTATATTTAAAATATCAATTGCATTATAATGTCTATGATACAATACAATTGTTTAGCTGTGCTCTGCATGAGATCCAGAAGAAACTAAAGCTAAGGACCTATTCACAGAACATTTAAAAAGCATTTTATACATTCTACACACAAATGTATCTTAAATTACAATGATGCATATGAAATATGCATATAGAATATGGCTTACATATTAAAAGAAATCTAAGTTGTGAGTTATCAAATCTCACTACTTACGCTTAAAAGCTTCTGATTGTATCCATCTCTAAGATATTGCTTAACACTGTGGGACCTGGGAAGGAAGCCCACTCAAGAGGCAACTCATAGGGTGAGGGGACGCTCCTTCACATCATTTAATTGACAGCTATTCTTATTCTTTCCATTCAATTTCCACCTTTCATGGGAACAAAATCACTTCAGCTCATAATCATTGAAGTGTTTGTACAATGAAAGCTACAATACCTAATTGTGTGATTCACCCTTCTTGTCAGCTAATAACAAGTATGGGCAGTTCTTCAGTTTGGGGCAAAGGAAAGGCTTTGCACATGCTCAGGTAAAACATAACACAGAAGCAGGACCCCAGAAGGTTTGTTTCTGTTTAGTAAAATCAAAAAGTCACATGGAGTAATGTTATCTGTACAGAAAAGTGTTAGCTTCTATTTTCACATTTTTAATATATACATACACAAACACACACACACACACACACACACACTTCTCCCCTCTTATCCCTTGGCCTACAATATATATATTTTTACATCCTGATGGAATCAATACCCCAGGAAGCAAATTCCATTTTCCCCTTAAGTGTCTGTCTCCAACAATGGCTGATGTTCCTTGATATTGTGGGCTGGTAATGTGCAACTTGTGCTGTGACCACATCCATGTAGGTGATGCTTTGAAACCACAGGGATGGATGTACGTTGGTCCTCTGGTTCCAGGAGACGGTTGTACAATTGTTTTCCAGCTTGAAAGTTACAATGAGGTGTTCTTCTGCTCAGTGAACTGCAGCTCCGATACACCAGGACTTCAGCTACAGCATCTAAGCAGCCCCAGCTCTCATTCTGTTCACATGCATTTAAAATCAGGAATCTAAATAGTCTCTTCTCCAGCCTTGCAAAATTTTTTTCATAATTTTTTTTGCTTTCTACTTAAGATCTTGAAAAATTTATACTTACAGCATTCTGCGTAAGACAGTGCAAGAAGTACATTTAGAAATGTTTCCTCTCCTGCATAGTCAGTATGAGGGGTTAAAAGTGCTGAAAAATTGAAACTGCCCAACTTTTGCCTTAAAAATTTCTCTGCCTCGATGAAGAAGACCAATTGTGGAAGAAAAACAATGGTAGAAGCATTGGCCACAAACTCCAATCACAACTTCAGAGTACTTATTTGGGCAGTCACTAGCTTAAATTTTGTGTTGTTCTTATTCATTATGGAGGAATCCATTAAAATGACTTGAGCCAAACCACTGGAACCATGTTGAAAGAGGAGAATATACTATTGTGGGAGGTTGAGTATTCCAGATGCTTTTCATGTTGTTTTCATTATCCTAAAATAAAAATCAAATGAAAATGAAGATCAGAGAGGGGATGGATGTTAATCACAGGATACCAAATTTCAGTTAAGCAAGAGGAGTAAGTTCAAGAGATCAATGGTACAAGAAGGCGACTGTAGTTAATAATATTGTATCAAATTCTTGAAAATTGCTAAGTGAGTAGATCTTGTTTTATTGGGGAAAATGTTGTATGAGGTTATACTTTTTTAATTAGTTGTATTTAACTATTCAACAAGGAATACATATTTCAAAACATGTGTGGAAAATAAATATAATTAGGTCAACTAATAAATAAAAAGAAAAAGGAATTATGGTTTAGTCTACATACGGAGCTATTATTGTGTGGCAACTTCACATTGGATTTTATATACTTTGTCAAAAATAAGGAAATTCTCAGTATTTAGTAGATACTGGTTTTATACCAGTTGGAATTCTTCTTATTACTTCTGTGTATGCGTGAATGTGTTTTAATCCAAGTAAAACTTTTCACACACTGAATGGTCATTTTTACAAATATACTGATAATCTATATTGCCTACTCATAATTTTTTGGAAAATGTTCATAAATATTCCAGATCCATATCACAAATGCTTAGGCAATGTTTATTCTAAAGCTTTTGCTTTTATTTTGATGGTATAGGACAAACTTTGTCTTGATCATATCCTGTAGGAAAGAATCTTGCTAATTTCATCTTATTCTGTTTTATAAATAATATTTATTTACAAACATAACCCTTTCTTACTTAAAACATCTATAATATCCCAGCACAATTGTTTTCCCGAGAATATACTTCAGGGGCTCTCTCATATTTGAAATAACTGTGGATTCTAAAGATAATAAATGTAGAATCTGGTGGATGGTATAGAGAGGAAGTGTTGCAGGTACCATGAGACAATGTATTATAATTGTTTAATATGGTGATGTGTGTGAATTGCTGAAGACCCAGTCTGTGACTTGATTTTTTTTCCAAATTTCATATAGAAAATAGGAATCACAACACTAACTTTGGAATGGTTGAAAGGACTAATTGAGATAACATATGTAAGATGTTTTCCCCAGTGACAGACTTAAAACTGTCTTTGTAACTCAAGAACACTGAAGAAAGAATTATCTTAAAAGAAAATCATTTTTTTAACTCTTTCATGTCTAAAGATGTCTAAACAACATCTGAAGGAGGTGATGATCACATCTCAAAGGCTTGGTGTGGTGCCCTTTTATCCTCCTCCCATCACTACCCTAGCAGAAAGACTCAGCAGTGTACTTGGGTTTTGTTTCTTAACTTTTTTTAGGAGACATTAAGGCATCTCCACTGTTCATATGCATCCCTCCTTTCCAACTTCTTGTTCCTCCTCTGTAGGCCCAAGACAGTAGTTCTCAATTTTAATGAACACAAAAATCAACAGATGGGCTTACTAAAAATTCATATTTCTAAGGCATCACTCCCAGAGTTAATAATTTGCAGATGGAAGGCAAGTCTGAGAAGCTGAATTTTCCTTAAAAAGAACCACTAATGCATATATCTACAGATTTTAATGAATATATTTGTTTCATATTATTTCATATTTGTTATATTTTTATCAGCATACATAAACATTCATGTTTCTTATATGAAATAAACAGATCAGTATAAAATATTTATATTTCCTCCATGAAATAGAAAAAGAAATGAACATGCCTATAGACTATAGTTTACTATCTATAAAGAATTAAAATTTTAACCTCAGTAAATATAATTTTTATTGATGATATTTAAGATTTACCTGTTAAAGTTTTACCACAGAAGACTGAAAATGCAGATCTTTTTAAAGGGTCTAGGAGGGCTTACAAATAAGACAGCATTGACTCTAAGGGTACTCTGCAAATCACTGATTTTAGAAATTAGGCTGTTGTCATAAAAATTAAATTACCTTTCATGCTTAAAATGACAGAAGCTTCTAAGGTGTTTCAGACCTATGGATTTGTATCAGTATGCCTTTCTTCAGCATTTACTAAAGCTTCTGAGTTCTTATGAAGATCAACTTCACCTAAAAAAAATAACAAATAGCAAAACAAAGGATGCATTTGACAAAACCTAATAAGGTTGGGACAAAGAAGCAATTTGTAAAACATTGAAGACTGGATTTTCCAATGGACTTTGTAGCACATTTCTCCAAAGACACCAAGTATATATATATTTTTTCAGCCTGTGGATCTATAGAGTAGAGCCAATCATCTTCTGGTGAGTATTTAACTTTTGAAACTGCACTTTTACCTAAGAATACAGAAATGAAATATATGAGACATATTTAAACATCTATGAAACCACACATAAAACTTATGCATGTTCTTCCTGAATATTTTTAATTGAAATGAATTCTTTTAAACCCCCTACTGATTAGTGTCTTTTATCCCACACTAATTAGTTGCTATGAGTGTAGAAACAAGTAAGAATGAGTGTAAGAGATTAGTAATGTGTAAAATAAAATAATCTGCTGAGACAAGTTAATGGAATTTATAATCTTAGAATAATTCAAGTTTTATATAAACCTCAAAGAAAAATCAAGGAACACAGAAAATATTTCAGCACTTCTTGAAAAGTTGTAGTGAAATGATCAAAATTAGGATTATGAAACATAATGTACCATTAAAAGAGTCTTGTTACACAAGATACAGAGTAAACAAAATAAGCAGAAGTTAACTTTTTGAGTCAATCGCTGAATATACCTTGATTTTTCAGGAAATAATCTTATAGGATGGAATGCTCTGCCTGTCTGAAATGTGAAGATTTCTAACAAATTTTGCACCAATTTAACTCTTAGATAATCCCTTCAACATATACTATAAAACTTTGTCAACTCAGTTGCAGGGGTTTTTAATTTTGTTTTGTTTTGGGTTTCTTTGGCAGTACTGGGATTTGAACTCAAGGCCTCACATTTGTTAGGCAGATGCTCTACTACCTGAGCCACACCTTCAGTCCTTTTTTGCTTTTAGTTATTTTTCAGATCGGATCTTATGTTTTTGCCCAGCCAGGTTTGGACCATGATCTTCCTACCTCAGCCTCCCACATAACTGGGATGACAGGCATGCACCACCACACACAGCTTCTTGGTTGAAATAAGTCTTGCTAACTTTTTGTCTGGGCTGGCCTTGAGCCATGATCCTCCCAATCTCTACTCCTGAATAGTTGAGATTATAGGCATGAGCCACCATAACCAACTCAGTTGTAAGAAGTTTTTCTTGGCATGATATGATTGGTGAGTATGTAGAATTCACAGGAAGTAATGTGTGTTCTCTCCCACTAGCTCTTCAAAATATATTCAATGAGGGAAACACCTTTGTTGCAGGATCAAAATGTCAGATTTCTCATTCTTAGACAATAAAGAGCATCCTATGATCACATTAAGTTGCCAGAGTCTCAAGTCATATTTACACAGCAATCATCAAATGAAAATATCACTCTTTCCCACACTGTGCTTCTTGCAGACCCCAGTGGATAGAGGGTGCATCATTCATTCCTTGTTTCCTCTTTTTCTGCTGACTGCTTTGGGCTCCTGAGATGGTACATGAGGGATGAGACTAAGGCAAGAGCCAGTTCCCACTGACCAGCACCCCTGCAGGACAGCTTTAGACTCCTTACACCCAATAGGTTGTAGAGCTCACATTTTTTTCCAGTGAGCACATCCAGGATCTCTCAAGAGACTTCTTACCAAGGTCCATGATGTGGACCTCTTACCATCTTGCTGAGGGCAAAAGAGCCCCTGGTTTCTTAACAATGCCCACAGTACCTGGAAATTTGCTGGCACATTTCCAGCTTCTCTGTACTGAAGTCCCATTCAAATGAGTGGACACATTTAATTCTCATGAAACCCTCCTGAGGCATTTGTTATAAACTATCTGAGGAAAAGCCAAAGCCTACACAACCTCCCCTCCATGGGCACCTGTCACCATCTGACTTGTCAGATCCCTCAGGCAGGAACCAGATTCCGTTCCCAATATCCATTCAGCCTCAAGCTCCCATTGAAGTTCTCTTCCCTTGATTTGTTGTAAAAAACTATGTATTTCTACCTCTTCCCCAATAGCAGGGATGTGTTTAACAAAATCCTCCTCATAGATTCTTTTTCAACTTTCAGCAACTTAACCTTTCATTTGTTTGAATTGAGTGAAAGCTTTTAAGCACTCTGTGACAGACTTTTGAATATTCTTTGAAATTCCTGTCTTACAACTCAGTTTGTTTTCTGACATTTATCATCTTGAAATCTTGGTTTAAATTCTGATTTAATATCCTGTTACTTAAGACTAGATTAGAACAGAACAAAATAGTCTGGGACAGAATAGAAGAAAGTGACAAGAATAGACTAAATTAAGAGAAAGGAATATAAGTACTCATCTGATTCAGTAGTTCTCAAAATTTTGAAAGAATTTTTTGCAATAGGTAAAAGACTAAAGTTTACCTACAACCAAATATTCTTATTTCTAGTGGATGAAGAACTCACCAGTAAGAGTGGAAGACAACAAAATAAAATGGTAACAATGCAGTGATTATAAATGTAAATAAATCCCAAAATGATGCACAAATTATATCCAAGAGTAATTCTATACATAAAATTAGAATACTATGACCAACTCAAGAATTTTGTAACCTAAAAATCTGTCTTCAAAATTATAAAATTCCAGTTGTTGTTAAGGACACACACACACAACAATGCCAAGAAATTTCAAGGTGGATTGCTTAAGAAAATAATGAATCAGAGTCCTCAGTAAACCTAAGCCACATTACTTTTAGTTCACCCTTAGTTATAGAAGATATTAACTCAGGTAATAGTGCTTGTATGTCACTCTTATTATTTCGTGAACATGAAAGTCACACTTTGACATATAAATCTGCCAGAAAAGAAGAAATGATTTCCATGTAAAACTCACTGAAGATAATTTTAGATGAGTTCCATAGCCCAAGGGTGGCCTATGTAAAAGATCCTGAGAAACATCTATATAGGTCAGAATTCCCAGCATTTTTTAATCTGAGTCTCTCTTATCTGATAAAACCTATGGTCTTCTTTTGAAAATAAAGTTCATAAATAATATAACATACATATGATTAAAAAGGATTTCGCTAATATTATAATATGGCTATGGTACATTTAAGTAGATGTAGCAATGAGCTATGGTAGTACTTCTTAGCTTCTTTGTTAATGCATGCAGTCTATGTGCAACTTTGAAGGAATAATATCAAATGATATTTCAAGATCTACCCACTAAATATATTATGAAAATATCTATGATTTCTGCTGATATCAAACATAAAATGCAACAAGTGTTAATGTGCATTATTGCTTACAAATGATGGTCATGCTTTATTTCAGTTAAGGAGCAGTTAAATAAAAAGTTCCTCTCCAAGTTCACATATCCCTTGTGTACAACTCTGGGTTAAACTTTTGTTCTAGTCTAGCTTCATTTGCAAGTATGAAACAAGCCAAGAATAATCAAGTGACTTCTTCCAATACAGACCAGAAATAGATAACCTCACATTAAAGCACTTGGCTTTCAACTGGTACTTCAACAAGAGCACTAAAGTGACTTTGGAATTCATTTTATTGAAGGGATTTGCAGACTCAGCCATATAAGAAGCTACATCTTAGGAATGAATGTAAGTGTTCTATTCACAGCAGGTGCATAGAAACTTGTCAGCCAGGATACAGACGGTGAAGCAAGAGCCCTCAGTAATTCAGTTCATCTCAAGGCCATTGTGGTGTTCATCTATACCACTTTCTAAAGTTCAAACTCAAATAAGTAATTTGTAAAATCATGGAAACATTGTGGCTTTGTTTCAGAGAGTCTAAATTCAGAGAAGGCATGGTGGTTAGCAGAGATATTAAACAAACAGAAATCCTCTAAATTTAGTGCATCCTGGCTTTTAAACTGCAATCCAAGATCACTTTTAGTATATTAGAATCACGTTATGTTAGACGTAGATAATATGAGTAACACTTGCAGGGAATAATACAAAACACATAAGGGGACATTAGAGACTCCAATTCTCCAGTTGTGGTATCATTGACTAATTATGTGAAAATAAAGTTAGGATTAATTTAACATCTAATAGGTAGCAGGTACTGTTGTAAGTCATCCACTTCCCTCATAGCAGCCCTAGGAAGTAGATTTAACAACTGTGGAAACTAACAAGCAGCTTCAGTCATCTGCCCAGAGTCTCAGGTGGTTTGATAAAGTCAACCAGAATCTTGATCCCTCATTACATTGCCCAAACTACGGTCAGCTACCATCTTCACCGTTTCTGCACCTCCACTAGACATCTTATCCTCTCACCTAATAGTCTCCTCTAAACTGACTTTCCTTCCTTTTAAAGCAATTCATAGTTTTATTCTAAATAATAATTTCCTTCACCAAAAGAAATAAATTTAGCATGAGTTTTGCATTTTTCTAATACAACACCACAAAAAACTCATAATTAACAGAAGATCATTTTTCTATAGTTATATAAAACAATAATTAATCATTTTGGACTGTTTTTGACTTATCTAAGTGAACAATGTCTGCATGTCCATAGGAAAATCATCACTATGTTTTCTGTCTCAGACACAAGGAGCACATAATCAGAGGAATAATGGACTATCCCAGGGCATCGTAGCCCAGGTGAATCTGTGAGACAGACCCCATCTATCTCTCAGAAGAACATTCTAGTTAAATTTCTAATTTTAGCAGCAATAGTATATAGTGTCTGAAAAATACTCAGCACAAAATTAATGCATACAGTCTTTTAAAAACCCATTCTTGAATCTGCTCATTTGTAGTAGATTTTCTACTAAATCTAAGTAAAAAATTGATTGAAGGTTTTATTTTCAATGTGGAATTTTATAACAATGTTACTAGTATCAGAAATCATTTCTCAAATTGCTCACTTAATGAATTTTAGAAAGAAATACCAATAATATATTCACATTTTCAATGTTACCACTTATCTGCAACTTTTGGCCTGTAATTTTCCATAAAGTTCTCGGTTCTTGTATTTTAAAGGGAGTCCAAAAATGGA